AATTGAGCAACCCCCTTCATTTTTGCTCATGTAGATTTAAAATCCAATCCGATGTGAGCGTGCTCTGGCATGAAACCTGCTTCCCTGGGGTCTGGAAGTGGTGCATGCCCTTTGTTTGTGTTCTGATGCAGCCATCTGGATCCTAGTGGGAAGCATCGGCTTAAACAAGTCTCCAGATGACCCTATCGACAATCATTCCATTTTGGTGTTTTCTCTTTATGTGCCAAATATTTCAGCCAAACTATTTCAAACCAAATATTGCAGCAATTTAATCCATCTCCTTAAATCCCATTAAATTCAGAGGTAAATTTCTCCAATGTGAGATCAATAAAGTTCTTTTTTTTTATTAAAGCTATTGTATTAGTATTAAAAAATTGTGATACAGCAGGAAAATTTAGTTTAAATGTTCGTTTAAGTTAGCAGGACCACTCTTCAACCACACGTCTAATTATCTATCAGTCCAATCATACTGAGTCACCCAGAAGCATTGAAAGAGATGATTAGTCCACTAAGTTCATCCATCCTTCACAGTTGATGTATTTTTCAACAGAGTGCGCCTTGGCTTCTGTCAGTCCTAAAATCAGTTAATGTTTCTATTCATAATGGATTATGATCTTACTATTCACCTCAGTCCCAACAATTTAGAGGATAACCTGCTCAGCTGTCTATTTTGAAACTTCCGTGATTTGGAGACAACTGTTCATATCTTTCTGCACTCTGTGAAAAACACATCTAACAGCCTCAATCAAAGGCTTTCCATTTTCCTTCATCAAGTTGCTAGATCTGTGTCCATCAATCTCTAGAAGGTGGAAGCTAAACCATCCAGCAGCATTGCCACTACACACCATCAACGCACCCATGCCAAAGCATCCTTAAATTCAAACATCCTCTGACATCACCTTTACTTTACTGCACATTTACTGCAAATTCTCTAATGCTTTCAGACAAACCATACTAAGAAGGTGATTGACTACTATCTACAGAACAGATATCTTATAATGGTATCCTTTTAAATTAAGACTCATTCTAGCAACAAACTTTGCAGGTCACACTGTAACCATTCAGATTGTTTGTGTGTCGATATGTGGCTGTATTTGTGTGTGTTGGTGGTTGTGTGAATGAGTAGAAATTTTTGTGTTTGTGTTGAGGTGTAGGGTTGTAAAACTGGGGTGAATGGTAGAAATCCTACAACACACAGCATCCAAGATCAGCAAAGGACAGGTGGCTACTAAGAGATGCCAAAGGTGACACTTCAATGAAGTACAGGAGCAGGAGCACCTAGGACAAGAATGTAAGGGAGGAGCCAAAGGGCCCTGAGCCCTGTTAGAATGGGTGAGTTCAATTCCAAACCTAAACTTTATTTCCACCTGGAATCTACTTTTAGGTGAAGGCTGCTTTTTAAAAAGTATGGAAAACCTGAAAAGACAGTTCAACTGAATATTAGGATAAAACCTAAATAGCCAATTTAACAAAAGGCGATTATGTTATTTTTTTATCCAATTTTTTTACTTATGTAAATGTTATAATTGAAAGGATGTTGTTGGAAGATTCTTTTCCCTATACCTCAATGTGCTACTACTTATAAGCCACATGTGCTGATTGAATGCATAGAAATTGCCATTCAACAAAGATGCAAGGTTTTACTTAAGTGTCTAGAGGTTTCCAGTTTGAATAGACTCAGATTCTTAAAATATTCAGTATCATAAATATAAATCAGTAACAAGGTTTGCATCATTACGTTTTAACTGATCAGAATGTAAAAAAAAGAGAATGTTTTTGTCTTAAATTTTGCAATCTAATTCATTGCTTTACAGCCTATACCTTTTGCATAAGACTAATTCCAAATAAATTGACCAGCCGGACTCTGTCAGAGGTCGCCATGGAGACAAGCAATCAGCAGGACGTTCCTGCACAGATGACCTCAGATGTCAACTTACTCCAGAAGTATGCAGCAGCAGAATACTGATAGCAGCTCTGAGGCTCAGTGGTGGAGGTGAAAAAAATCTATGCTTCACCTTCAGATGCCCTCTTGGTGGAAATGACAGCATGAAATCCAGGAAACCCTTTTTATATATATATATATATATTGAAAAAAATCTATGCTTCACCTTCAGATGCCCTCTTGGTGGAAATGACAGCATGAAATCCAGGAAACCCTTTTTATATATATATATATATATATATATATATATATATATATATATATATATATATATATATATATATATATATATATATAAATATTTGATATTAGCACATAAGAACAGGGGCAAGGACATGGTTAATTGAACAATGCTGTTCAGGTATAGAACAGAATATTACATATAAATTACAACTGGAACTGGGTTTTTTTTTCAGGGCTGTTTTTTCCATATTCTGTCATTTGTCAAAAACTACATCTAGTTTATTACAAATTACTTAAGATAAAACATCTGAAAGTAATGCACTATGTTTAGGCAGAAGGAAATGAAAGATGGTGTTCACCTATAAGCTTTCATGTTTTAACCACAAGATATCTAAAAAGTTTGGTTTAGGCTACAATTACTTTTGGTGTCTAAAAAAGTTCATAATTTTTTACAGGAATTTGATTTATTGTGCTATCAGTAAAAATCAGTATTCAAGTCTTGCTATAGATTCTCAGTTGGATTTATATTGTGTCCTTTTATTGAACTGTCCTATTTAACAGTCTAATTGTAGCTCTGTTTTTTGCTTTGTTTAATTCTACTTTTGGAAGGTAAATTTCTCAGACTAGTCCTAAGCATTTAACAGCTTTTAATAAGTCATTTTCTGCATTGAGCTCCCTACATCTTCCTATTGACTGATTGGATTTTCTTGTCCCTGCAGAAAAGCAACCTTGCTGTCATCTCATTGTTTCACTTCAGACATGATCTGTTCAGTTTGCATATAGGTCAAGATGCTTAACTTGTGTCCCCCATATAAAATTTGGGAAACACCAAACATAATTTCTTAACTTTTTTTTTTTTTTTAACCTTAATGCTATCAAGGCCAGATTTGGAGATTACAAAACGTCCTTGTGAGCAGATAGATCTCTGCAAATACTTCAGAGTTACCGTTGGGATTCTTGCTTCAGCCCTGATTAACAGGCCTACTTTCCTTGTCTGGGTCTGCATAGTTTGGGATCATGGCCATTGGGATGAGCCATAAACAAAAGGACCTGGAGAAAACTGAGCATAACAAGAACTCCAATAAAAACACGTTAAATAATAAAACAGGGAAGGTGCAGCTGCTCCAGAGGAAATTAAATTCCGTCCTTGCTTTGTCCCATTTGAACTTTTAAAGTTGTATTAGTTATAAGCAAACATTTTAGTTCAGAAAATGTATTTGTTTTATCTTTTTTTTTTTCTTTTCAGACAAATTTAACAAACTTGTGAGCGACTTCAGAACACATTTTCAAAAACATAACCCTGTGAAAATGACAAAAATAAATAAATGATGTATGTATCAGGACACTCATATTCATTATAGGGGCTACAGTGTCAGCAGGGACTCCCATACTTCCCCGTCCCGAGAAATCTCATTTGCTGAACCGCAACAAACCAGTGGAACTTACATTTGAAAGCACCCATTTCCTCTAATATTAGGATACCGTTACATGTGCTGCCAAGTTCCAGGGAGCCTCCATTAATGCAGACTCACTATTTAAGGGCTGAATGGTCCACTCGCCCTACCCACTACGAGGTTTGGGACGGTTTCAATGAGGCAGACCCTCCACAGGAGCGTGCAAACAAAGGGCTAGTGCCCAGGGGAAGTGTTTAGGGGACGTATGGGATCGGGCCCCTCAGCTCCTCCTGGGGAGCCCCAAGAGGTCAGGGTCATCTGAGAGTTATAAGTCCCTTATACCCTGAAAGCCTCAGGATTTTAAAGCCCCAGGATTTTTAGTACCCAAGTAATAGGAAAGTCAGGTCATTCATCACTGTGTTTCCCATTACACAACATACTCAGCTTGAGAAACTGTGTCCGTCTTACAGCTAACGCGTTACTCTAACGATATTACTTTTTTGGGTAACGTGTTATTGGGAACAAAATCACTATGCTAGACCATAGTAAAAACGTTTCCTGCTTTATCTAAGCTGTTTGCCAGTGTATAAAGTACTGATACAGAGGTTGTGATCTGTGCGGCTGCATGCACTCAGGCTGCCTTGGTGCTTTCCAGGACACGTTACCATAGAGACCAGGGTTTGTATTCAGGTGATGTCACTACATGTGCAACGTAGCATGGAGACAGTATAATAGGCTATTTTTATTATTTTTTGTCCACAATAATATAGGAAATGGTAAAGTAAAAATAATGATGCAAGTTTTCAAAAACTCTTACAAGTAATTTCGTTACAATTTCCAGAACTAATAAGTAACTACTCTTTTAGAGTAATTACTACCAACACACATATAGTGAACACATGCAGGTGCCTAGTTTGCAGATGCTCATTTGGAAAAATTAAGCACGCTGACCGCTAGGTGGCGGCAAAGCGATAAATATTGCAATACCCTCCATCAATGACAGTCTAATCTACAGTAATTTTTTGTAAAGTTTTTTTGGTTTAAAAGCTTCACTAATTTTAAGATCTTGGTGTACAAATTTTAAAATAGTCTTGATGATTTGTAATCCTATATAGTCGAAGATATATCTAAAGATATATCTAAAATATATTTTAAAATAATGGGTGCTAATATTTAAACAATAGTTTTGATCTTTATTGCAAACTACATTTAATTTGGTTCCTGGCAGAGATCTGGCATCTCTGTCATAACATTTTTATTTTAAAGTCTGTTTTCCTGGCAAGACACCTATTGTTTATTTATTTATTTTTTTTTCAAATTGGATCAAATTTGGACCCGAAATTACCCCAATTACCATATTACCCTACAACAAATATCAATATTCATAAAAATATAAGAACATATCTTAAAAGATGTCTTCTTTAATAAACGCAGGAAATATAAGGTTGTTTGATTTAAAAAAAATAACCGACCCGGTTTTTGCAGTTTATCGTTCAATTTTTATTCTGTGCAAAATGAAAAAATGAATCAAGAACAAATTAAGACAACAATCTTCCTCTATACTGCAAGTGTACAAACTTCATCAGCTACAGCCAAGATTTTAACATCTTTATACTAAAATAATTTCTGTAGTCCTTGTTTGGACATTTAATGATGAATTCGCCATCAGCACCAATCCATTAAAGCTGAGAGAAGAGCTGAGCAGCGCTGTCAACATTTGCCGGTTCCTTTGGTGGCTCTTTAGGAACCTAAAAAGGAACAAAACATATTTTGTTATCTGTGTCATAAGATTAAAAGTATCTACAGCATTAAATGTCCACAGCTTCTCCCCTACCTGTGTTTGTTTCTTTGTTTGAGGAGCAACAGCCTTTGAAATGCTCTGCACGTCCCTCTGGATCTCTGTAAATATCTGGTTTAGGTTCTCCACCTTCTCATTTTTCACTGCATTGATCTGTCAAAACACAACAGATGCTGAATCAGGTGTAAAATATACACTTAATTCAATATAAAATATGTGGAGAGGGGTTCTTATGTGTGGATAACTGAAGGAGGAAACAAAATAAGACCTCACGTTTTTCAGAGCCGTTGTGACAGGTTTCGCTTTCTTCTTCATCCTCAGATGCCTGTTTGCCACTTCGAAGACGTTCTGCTGTTTTTTTCCTTTCTGTTTGTTCTTCCCCATATTACCTAAGGGAGATGGAAAAATGTCACCAGAGAAATGTTGAAAAAAAAGAAAAGAAAAGAAAAAAAAACACATTTTGTCTCAACAAAAGTATTTTTGGTGCTGATAGGAGTAAAAAAATAAAATACAAAAAGATTTTTCCCACTCTTAGATAGTTAGCATTAGGGATGCACAACTTAATCGGCATGTTATCAGTACCAGTCGGTACTAGCTTTAAAACTAAATATTTAACCTCACCAATATAAATAAAATGCACTGTTTTTGTGACAAACAAGTGTGAACTATATTTCCAGCACCAGTAGGTCACATGGACCCAACTGATGCCTCGGAGAGTACGGTAGGTAAAAAACCTCTCTGCATCTTTGCATTATTTTAGTAGTGTACTCCTGCAGCTAAACAGAGTTATTTTGTACCCAATCCTTTCTGTGGTGAGATCTGCAAGACTGGATTGTTCCTTTAATCAGAATAACTAGCTGTAAATCTAAAACTGTTTATCTAGTCATAACCTCCCTGATTTGTCCACTAAAAAGACTCAAAGAGCACAGTGACCAGCCACAAACCAGTACGTTAAGCACTGCAAATCTCCCTTGCTTTAGTTAATGGTAGTGTTCATGGATCAACAGCATAAGGGGCTGGGGGAAAAAAGAGCATAGTATGACGACATGTTAAAACAATATAAAAACTTACCAGATATTATCACTATGCTGTATTTTCAGAATGTGATGTTGGTCACTTAACGGTAACTCTTGCTATTCACAATATTTTGCAGCTTAATAGCTTCTTTGATCACTTATAATGCGATGTACCAAGCAAAAATAATACAATGTGAAATTGTTTTGTTGAACATAGTTAATATTGCTTGTGCAGAGTAATGAAAAAGGAAATAGTAAATGACAAGATGGCAGCTCTTCGGATAAATTATGTAATATATATTTTGTCTGAAATACTAGTATGTTTGCTGTCATATTCAATTGACATTTATTACTGAGTCAATATCTTATAAACAACAGATAAGCTTCTCAGTAGTTTGATAATTCAGACGATTCTTTAGAACGATTTTGTTTCCCTGCTTAGAGTGCTTGTTCATCTGGAAGATCCCATATTTTAATATGTTGAATGATGCTGCCACTTCTGTACTTTACAGTGGGCAGATTTTTTTCAGGGTTGCAGGCTTCCCCTTTAGCACTGAATGCTGAAATGGTTACGACCAATGAAAGCTCTGGATTTAGTTTCTGCAAACCCCTGGACACATTGGTAATTGAGCTTTAACACCTTCTCTGAAAGGACTTTAAGCCAATTTATGGGCAAGATCGGTTTCATTTGCAGAGAGATGCATTGGCTGGTCCACCTGGAGCTAAACCTGCTAAAAATGGATGATTTTCAGACATCCCTGTCCAGAACTGCCTCTCCTTTAGTATCCTGAACAAAACTGCTTTAACTGAACCCCTTCCTGTTCATACAGCAGTCATTCAAGAATAGCAACCTTCCACATATTTTACCCTGGCTTCATTCTGTCTGGGTTGAGCACATCTATCACAGTGTGGTTGAGCCATGAAACAGGACAGATTCAAACTATAAGAGTTAGGCCTGCAGACAGACTGATCAAGGCTGACCTCCATCCATGACAGGCCAGAAAAGGGTCTTAATGCATCCTGGTCAGAAGCTGTCTGAACCTCTGCCCTTCAGGTTCACACAACACAGAACAAATAAACTTCTGACTTTAAAGAGAGTGCTAAAATATGCAAATAACTTAAAGCTTTGTTTAATTCAATCAATTAGACTTATTAATGGGATACAAAAATAAATAAATAAATCAGCTTCTCTAATATTTGGATTTAATAACTCAATACTCATTTTTTTCCAATAGGTGTTGAAAAACATCAGCATAATAATTCAATGTAGCCTGAAATTAGCGATTTAATGATGAAATAACATGATACAAATGTCTTAAAAGCTCTATTGAATTTTGCTGAACCGCTTGTTTGTTGTTGATGTTTTATTTTGTGTTAAGCAGCATTGATAAAAGGACCAGCTCACATTCTTTTGGAAATATTGTTTCCTCCAATGTTGTTATTAAGGATAACTACATGCTCCTCCAGAATAAAAAAAATCTAAAACTTTTAAACCGTACCCTTTAACAGATAAGGAACTCGTCAGCTGTCCGGTGTTAATCTGGTAAACAAACACGATATGACGACAGGCTCTATAGACAGAAGCTAACAGAACACGTAATAAACAGAAGCCTAAAGTAACGCTGTAAATAATCCAATAAACACATCAAATAAAAGCCTACTTACGTTATTTCTGGAGTAATGTTTGTGAATTCATGTGCTACAAACGTGCCATGCCTGTTACGTCACTTGCATGCGACGACTAGAAGATTTTACTTCCGGTGACAACAAAGCCCGTACAGGAGCCGCCATCTTTGTCAGGGCAAAACTTTTGTCTCCGACTTGACTCATGCAGTGGTATAGAACTATTTGGTCACATCTAAGTTTTGTTAAATATGTAAAAAATATGTAAAACATATTAAAGCTATTCCGCTGAATCTTTTTTATTCCCATATATTTTAGTACCACAAAAGAAATTCATATTGTTCTTTAAAGGCCTTAGATTTCTATATTATAAATAAATATATATTTATATAAACCTAAGGCTTATATTCAAAACTATATATATAGTTTTGTGGTTTTTGTGCATCAAGAGTAGGTAGGGCATTCAATGTTCTCCAAAAATGGAGGGATAAGGCCGGTTTGGTATTGGTCCAACATAAAAAAACTCTGTTGAAAACCGAATTGATGTCAAAATTAACCTATGGTTTCAAATTTGTGATTCCAATTCAACATATTGTGCTGTTCCATTTTATTTCGATCTAAGACGTGGCTATCTTGTTAAACTGACAGTGCTTGCAAGGAGACAATTAATCTCTCTTTATTTTATGCTTTTGTTTTCCTGTGAAATATTTGATTCTTATATATAGATTTTCTTTAGGTGAAGGTTCACCTTGCACATGGCAATTACCCCAAACTAACAGCTACTGATTGAATGAAATGGTTTAAATAAATGCATACCTATGTTACAATGTAACAGTTTAATAACAGGTTATCATCTAATTTATAAAATATTTAAAATCAAGAGGGATGCTCTTAGATGAGTTTGATCTTTCTAAGTATGCTAAGTATGTAAAAAAAAATTAATGGTCTGCATATCCCCAGCAGGTAGAAACACACAAAAGAAAATACTACAAGCTATAGATGCAGGTGGTTCCACTAAGAAAGAAATATAAATAGATTGATCTCACAATGGAGAAATTAACTCTCTGCATTTAAACCATTGCTTTGAAGAGCAGTGGACTGCCACTGTGCAGCACCCGGGGAGCAGTTTGGAGTTAAGGATGTTGCTCAGAAACCCAGAGTGGAGGCTGTGGGGATCAAACCGGATACTTGCAACCTTCTCAGAGCATTTAAATGCACTAAAAAAGAAAATCCCACTCACTTTTAAGATTTTTAATTGTGTAAACTATTCCAAAAGCTATTTTGCGTCCAATTCAGAATGATAGAGTAGTTTGTTTTGGTCTATGACATCCAATGTCAATAAAATACATTTGATTTGGTGGCTATAGTTACCCAAACTAAAGACTGCATCTGCCATCTGCTGCTTATCACCAGCAGATGGCGCCATTATAACACAACGTTCATCCTCCCAGCAGCCTACAGAACCTTAACAAAACAAGGCGATTCTCTCCTCTGTATCTCATGCTGCACTGAGCGGTAGTTCCCACTGGGTTACAAATAATAATCCAGAGTCTGAGAAAATTTAAATGAAGCTGAATATTAAAAAGTAATTATCCATTAGAGAATTAATATTTTATCCAAAGTGTTTTTGCTGTGTTGTCACTCTATTACGGGGCCAATAATAAAGTTTTAAAATGTATGGAATGAGATATATGATTTCTTACAAAATGTATAATATATTACAACTGTATTATTTAATGATTTGAATGTTTAAAACATAAGGTAATTGATTAAATTCAACGTGAACGCATATTTCCTAATATGACATATTATTTATTTAACTGGTTTTGTTTGTCTTTTTTTTTTTTTTTTAAGGTATAATTTAGGTCTGGTTGTACCACCATCCCGCGCTGCGTCACATAATGGCGTAATACCGCGCATAATCCGGTATAGATGAAGAACAAGATCAATCTGCATATATCTCTAACATTAATTGAGGAATTAGGGGCATTGCATTGACCCGTAGCGTCGCATCTGCGCATCTTAACTCCTCCCGTGGTCACTGTACGCGGACATTTGGCCAAAGGCAGCCTGAGACGCGCTGCGCACAGGCTGCTATATAAACTGTGCGGCTGTCAGGTGGGGGACACTGGCAGCTCTGCACTACTCTGCTCTGCTCTGCGCTGGGAGATTACAGCTCTGCAGATTACATTACAATGTCTCACGCCTGGGGATACGCAGCGAGTAACGGTGAGGCGCTCTTTGTCTAATGCATTAGTGAAAATAATATTAATCATTAAATTGCACTGAATAAATAAAAGCATTAAAGCGCATCCATAATATTCATAATATTTAGTATTTTTACGCGTTTGTAGATTTTTACGCACGATCACCAAAATGCAGATTATGTGTGCAAAAACTCGATCTTGAAATAAATCTGATGATTATATATATATTTTTTATTATGCATGATATTCAGGACCCGACAAATGGGCCGACAGCTTCCCAATCGCGAACGGACCCCGTCAGTCTCCCATCGACATCGTTCCTGGCGAAGCATCCTTCGACTCGAAGCTGAAGCCGCTCGTCCTGAAGTATGACCCGTCCACCTGCCAGGAGATCCTCAACAACGGCCATTCCTTCCAAGTGACCTTCGTAGACGACTCCGACAGCTCCAGTTAGTATCCAAAGAATAATGCATGACATTTCATTTATTCAGCGCGGCCCCAGTTAAGATCTGCATGTCTGGGCCTAATTTATATTCATTAAATCGGTTCAGTTTTGATGATTTATGCAGTTTCAATTCACAAGGTCGTCCCAAGATGCTTTCCAAAACAAGCTGGTGCATTTTAAATCCAGTAATATGAAATCATCCCAGATCAATCCGATCCAAAACAAAATTATAACACAAAAGATAAAGATAAGATAGATAATGGCACATAGCTCTTTGTTTGGTTCTATTTAGATTTTGGTCCTTCCAGCATTTTAATGCTTTTAATGCAGGATTTATAAAGACTGATTCCTTCACTGGGTTTTGTTTAACAATTCATAAACATTTTTAAGATTTTTGTTTTGTTTCTATATCAAAGCGATATATCTTACAGCACATAGATTTAAAATAATTTCTGATCCTATGAATCCATGGTTTTCTAATTAAAGCCAGTCTAAATTGATCCTATGCCTTAAATATACATGGCAGAAATTCAATAAAAGAAAAAAACGGATCCATATTTGAATATCTATCATAACCCAACTTTATGCACACTTTCAAAACAGTTTTTCTATTTGATGTTTAATAATGTTGTATTTTGGTTTATTGGCTCATATGTTCTAGTTGTAAAGCTGCTTTTTAAACTTTTTTTTTTCTTTTTTTACCATTATTTCTTGAATTTGTAACAGCATTGAGGGTCCATGTAGCCACCCTGGACTTAAATTGAATTAAATACTGTAGCTATTCTTGTAAGTATCAAATGTGTAGAGGTTTTAGAAATATGAAAATTTCAAATTTAGAAGTTTGCAGTTTTTCTTTTATGCTTTTAAACAAATGGATATGCTGATTATGTAAATTTTAATGTATGCAGGCCAGGGTTTTCATCCATGATAAACTGATCTTGCTGTTTTTAGTATTATTATTATTGTTATTTTGTCTTATAACATGCCTTATTGTCAGATTTTGCTGTTATTGACATACAGTTGAAAATAACGCAGAAAGGTTTTAACCCCCATCCACATTGGAAATGCAGCCCTTGGTAACCGTTTCCCACAGCAACTCTTCATGCAGGAGCGAGGTCAAACGCGCAAAAGTGAAAAAGAAGTGGGGGATGGGTGGGTGTTGTTCTGCACAAAGAACCTTTTCTAAGGTCGCTCTGTTCTCTTAAACTTTAACAGGCGTGCAACTTTATCCTATGGACTAATGCACGTATTTTAACATTACATTAGAAATTAATTCCTGTGTTGTTTAGCCTGAATGGTTTATCTCCTGTTATCTAATAGAGGAAGCCACTTGCTTATTTCTAACCCTTTCTTCTTTAAAAGAGGTATCCGCTTTTCTGCAGGATATGGTCATGCATCACATAGGATCTGTGGAAAGCATGAATGCATCTGCTTTATATATTCATTTGTTAAACAAATAGTCACTAATGTGAAATGTTTTTGTGTCTCAGTTATTTCCACCGCTTTGTATTGTCAGACTAAATATAGATTATGGAAGGAAGGTAGCAACAATCGGATTGTATTTTTGGGGTTTAGTTTGCTGTGTTCTTACACAACAGCCACTGAGGCTGTTTCATCAGGTTGGGTGTGTGTATCTTATCTTGTTGAAGTTTCTCTATTTATTCTTTGTTTGAGGATGTATGTCCTTTAGAATTTTCCTTTTGTCTCACGTCCCAAAAGAAGAAATATTCAAACCGTCAGTTTCTGACTCATGCTGAGCTGACTGAAGAGTGTTCCATTTTTTTTTTTTTCCTTTTCACAGCTCTGAAAGATGGACCAATCTCAGGGACCTACAGGCTGAAGCAGTTTCATTTTCACTGGGGGGCTTCAGATGACAAGGGATCTGAACACACTGTGGCCGGGACCAAATACCCAGCTGAAGTAAGGATGCTTATTTTTAGGGATATGATCACTGAAAGATTGAAGCTAAAATAAGCCCCATTTACACTACCATCTGAAAACTGATCTGTGCTTAGTTCGGACTGAGCTTGGATCCCTACAACCGTTTACACATTGCGCTAGCACGGTTCCTGCCTCCTAGTGGCGATCTACGGTACTACTGCTGTCTAGTAGGAAAACTTTGTAATTATGTTTTGTTCCATCCAAAATCGCCTGGATAGCGTCCTCCGCTCATATTGCAGTAAGAGCCCCAGTCTCAGAAGATTTTGATTGTTGTTTACAGTTCGTCTTCTGTTTTGTGGAGGTTGGCCAGCAACATATGATGTGCATTAACGCCATCTACTGGAGGCTGACTGTTAATAGGAGATGATGTGGTCTGCTCATGCACTCTTTGATATCAGCAACAACTGAACCACACCGAGCCATACTGTTGAACTAGTACTAGTTTAGCGTGGTTTAATTGTGCCTGACATGGTCCAGTTCATTTTGTGTTCCATTTGCACTCAAAGGTTATCTCGGTTACTGTGCTCGGACGGTTCTCGGCACGGTTACAAAGGCTAGTGTAAATGGGGCTATAGAGGGATAATTAAAGGTTTTGGAAGTTAGCCTCTTTTTAAGGGTTCTCAGTAAATATAAGCAAAAATATAAGCAATATCTTACTTACAGTTGCAAAGTATTTGTTAGGTATAAATTCAGATTAGTTGTTCCTGGAGGCAAAGCTTAAAGCTAGTATAAAAGAGCCAAGAGCAAATATGACTTCTACTGTCTTTAAAAAGTTTTTAACTCAAGACATCAATTCAATTCAATTCAGTTTATTTATATAGCGCCAAATTCACAACACAGGTCATCTCAAGGCACTTTACAGTTCAACCAGATCATACAGTCAACATCACACAGGCTGTTTTATACATCTTTAAAAAAAGCCAAGAAACAAATGAAAGGAAATGCTGCAACATCAGCAATCTTCCTGTGTGAAACTTGAAGTATGTTTATATCAGACACTGGGGAGAGTAACATGCTCTCTTTTAAGTTCATGTTCCGCACAGGAAGATCCTTAGACACCTCCAACCTCTGTTTCCTGTGTAATTAATAAACAGTATCTGCAATGAATAGTTTGCCTATGCAAGCCTGATGACAGTTTAAAGGTTCACGAAATAGTTTATTGTGTATTTGCATTAGGTTTTTTTGGATTGACATTTTAGATTGTTGCAATTAGTGCATGGAAACCGATTCTGGATGCCATCATTAGAATGCTACTTTTACAACAGTGAGATTTAATTGAAATGGAAATACTAATATTTCAGCAAAAAGCTCAGAAGAATTTCCAAAAAGACCAACATGATAAAAATAAGAAAACAATTTCATTACAATATGATCCAGTGGGAAATTGGTCCAATGTGGTCAAATTCATTTACCATCGAAGATAGCTCTATCCGGTCCTGTTAAGGTCTTTTTTTTCCTCCAAAAGAAATTGTTCATTTTTTTTTTAATACAAGCAAACAGTCTAAACACCATTTCATTTATTCTTGGGTACAGAAATCAGATTAAAATTTGGTTTTTAGGATTTGTACATCAACCTTTATGATGTACCCTCTTATATTACTTCCAGCTCCACCTGGTGCACTGGAACACCAAATATCCAAGCTTTGGGGAAGCTGCTAGTCAGCCTGATGGGCTTGCTGTTGTTGGAGTCTTCTTAAAGGTGAGCAGTTGTCTGTTCGAGTCATTTAATATAACCTCAGCCCCTCAAATATATTTTCACTGGTAATATAAATAATTTTTGTTTTTCAGATTGGTGCTGAAAATGCAAATCTCCAGAAACTTATTGATGCATTTGACTCAATCAAGACCAAAGTATGTTTCTATAGAAATATTCTTGTGTATGTTCTGTGTCAATAAATAAAAAAATGTAAGACCCTGTCTTTCATGCACTTTTAGGGAAAGCAAAGTTCCTTTGCTAACTTCAACCCTGCAACATTGCTACCTGGCTGCCTAGACTACTGGACTTATGATGGCTCTCTAACCACACCCCCTCTCCTGGAAAGTGTTACCTGGATAGTCTGCAAAGAGCCAATCAGCGTCAGCTCTGCACAGGTAGGTCTGCTTAGAAAGCCCATTCATTGCAGGGAGATTGGCTGTGTTCCCACACTACAGCAGGCTTGTGTTCAAATTCTGTCCTTTTTTGTTTTGAATCAAGGACCCAATTGTTTGAGGTAAGAGCATGCCGTAATATAGAAGAAGAAACCTTTTGTAGAGAGAGGAAAGGCAATACAGTCCCACCATTTTACCTTCATATGAGAAAGAAGTGAAACTGCTAACAGAGAGAAAAAGGGCAACTGAGAGTTCATGCAGACTCTACTGGCTTACCACAATGTGTTATGAGTACACGGAGAGTTAGCAGGAAATATTCAACCCACACAGTACATCAAAGTCTGACATTGAGGTAACTTAGAGTCAGCATCTGTAGCTTTTAGCATAAATATATATTGCATTTTTGTTTATGCATAGTAAAACCCCAAGCACTGCCATTAGAGCAGTCATTTGACTCGGCTGGATTGGTTTGTCATTGTTGCCAAATTCTTTTGGGCATGTGAAAAATAACACTGCATACACAAATTATCTGTCCTGCTTTTTAGTGGGTTTATCAAGAGTGAATACATCAAAGGTTCAGATAACCTTTAAACATAGTGCCCTTTCAGGCCTGGCTCATTAGTTACAGGCAAACAAGTAATTACCTATCATTTATCTATCAGCTAATTTACAAGCTATTTTGATCCATCATCCACATTATTTGTCCAAAGCTGTAAAACATGATTAGCTGACCATTTACACCCTCCTCAGTTTTTGGAGGCTTTCCTAAGGGCTGTAAATTATTAACTCATTATCCTGCTTTAATGGAAAATCCTCTAAATAGGTCATCTGACACAATCATGTGGCAACTGATTAGCTAGATTTTAGCTGCTTTGCTTGAACAAAAATCCCTCAATACCTTAGGAAACTGCAGTTTGTAAGATATATTGGCACTTCTTTACAGTAATAATAAAGATGCTGTAGCTAGCATCTAATTAAGCTAAATCTTCTAGATTTTTTTTTTGCGATGTTTGAAAGTTAATCTAACATTCACATTCTTGTTTGTTTTTGTTTTGTTTTTGTTGGGTTTGGTTTAATAAGTTAGCAAACATCATTTAACATTGATATTCTAATTAGGCTTAGAAAGCAAGGGGGCTAACCACTAACCTGAAGTTAGCATTCGAGGAGGAGGGGATTTAATTGAAAAGATTTAGTGTTATTATCATTATTGCACTTTGCTTTAATGTGAGTTCAGCTTTCTACTGACAGTAAACTACATTAGGAAAAAAAAATGAGGCCAACTGCATATCTAGTAAACAGCTCCGTATAGGGGTCGTTTCCAAATTATTTCCTACCCATATGGAAACATGGTTAGGCCAGCTAACAGTCTGCATTTGGCTCATTTGCCATTTGGCAAAATAGCCTGGTCTGAAGCCCCGCTAGAAAGCTGTCTGACCTCCACCCCCAACTTTGTGAGTCTTGTTGACGCCTTCGCTCTTTGTTTGCGTCATTGATGTCATCAGTATGACAGAAATCAGGAAAGTAAACAATGGAGGGCAATAGGGAAGGGAGACAGGGCATAATCAGTGTGCTTTATTGTTTGTCTCTTTTGTTCATCCGAACCTCTTTCACCAGTGCAGTTCCATGTTTATCGAATGCAAGCAGAGTTTTGGCCTGTTAGATCAGATGGACATGATGTTGTGACGCACATATGTTGCACCTGAGGGTATCACGTAAATTAGACAGTGGGAACAGGTCTGCTGTTCCCGCTAAAGACGTTTTAACCCTGGATTGCTCGCTGAGTCGTTTGATGCGGGTCAGTGAGTTGTTCCCAAAAGCTGAATGTTTGCGGGTTTAAACAGTTTTTTTTTTTTTTTTTGGACTGTGGGCAAGGGGTGTAATTTATATTCCTTTGTTTTTGTTTTCCTTTGATGATAATATAGAAGATTTGTTATTTGTGTGACTGGGTTTTAAGATAAACTTGCAAGCTAACGGTTAAACTCAACAGAGCATAAAAAGATGAAGAGTACTTCAATTTATCCACTTAAACTCGGCCTTTTCCCACATCAGTTGTTGACTTAACTTCAAAACACTGCCCAAGTCAACAGTTTACAGTGTATCTGGATTATAATCAGTGAAGGTATGCTTTTGTTCTATCAAAACCACAGAAGGACTGCATTGACTACTTGCCTCTTCTCTCTGTTTCACAGATGGGCAAATTCCGCAGCCTTCTGTTCTCTGCTGAGGGTGAATCTGAATGCTGCATGGTGGACAACTACCGCCCTCCCCAGCCCCTCAAGGGTCGCCCTGTCCGTGCTTCCTTCAAGTAGTTGCCATCCCCCTCTTTTACCCTTTTACCCTACTTGCCCTTTATCCATCCTATCCCTGCTTTCATAAGTACCTATTTTGCAGTAAACCCTAGAAAGAACACATATCTTTTTCCGTCCAGTTTTAAAGCTTGAATTCCAGTAACACCATTGCATCCAGGAGGAAACACTGAATCCACAAATTTCTTGTATGTAAGGGATGTAAGGAAATGGGATTTACATTTATTTTATGTAGTATACCAGCAAGCAAGGCCTGTTATAATTCATTTCTTACAAACAAACTCTTCATAGTGGCTGAAATAATTTCACCAGAATGGTGCTCTGGAGCTATCAGGAGGCACAAGCTGTATAGCTCCAGTCTATGGGAGATGATAATGCCATATCACCATCTGTGAGGGGGGTGGGGGGTAAGGTGCCAAAGTGAACAAACCAACATGTAGGACAATCCGGCTGTCAATCTTGCTGTAATCTCTGACTGCCTTGCCGTCCTCCACAGCACAGCAGCTTACTGAAATGATGTAACCTCCTCCTTTGCAAGTGATTGACGTAGAAAATCCCCCTCTGGCTCACAGACACACACACCATCACACGTGCAGTCCCATGCAAACATGCTGCCTGAAGGCAATGACCTCCTTATTGACACAAATCGTACGGCAGTATACGGCATAAGGGCTGTCTTTTTTATTTTTATGATGGATTGTCTCTTAGATCCTCCCAGTTCATGCATATTAGGCCTTAAGCAATTCCTAAATAATGCATTTTGACAAAAAGCTTTTTTCTCAAACCCCTATATAGTTATAGCAGTAAAGATAAATCAAATATATTGTAGAGTCCTGAGGTGGTATAAGCGCACAGTAGACCTATGTTACATTGCCAATGAAGAAACCTTCCTGAGAGGCCAAGCAACTTGCCAAAAGAGAAGATTATCCTGTCAGCCTGGTGTCCTCTTGAGAGGAATGATCAACAAGAGGCCATTTAAGACCTCTGAGTGTAGCGTTTCAAAAGAGGGATGTTTCATCAGAAAGATTTGAATAAACTATATAATGATAATAAAATATCTAACTGGAAATCAGTAATGAGGCTGTCCCAGGTGTGTGATGTGACTTTTTTGGGTATGGTCCTTTCCTAGTTGAATAAATATATTTTATGATTAATTTGTGTCATTTCTCTTTTGTGTATCTTTGATTTCTTTGTTCAATAATCTACAAAATTAATAGTCATATTTTAATAAAATATATTTTTTTAAAATATACTTACTCCTTTTGTAGGGTGATGATGCAGACAGATTATATTTGAGAAAAAGCTAAAATATTATCCCATTGTCAAACTAATACAGACTCACCGAGACATTTGGAAGCATGTTAAAAGCCTGTGGGTCCAGGATTAAGGTGGCTGATTATACATAAAGTGGTTCCCCAAAAAATGGAAAATATCCAATTGTTTGAACTAAAATGTTTTTGTGATGCCAGAATCAAAATGAGAATGATCAAACTGGTTCAAGATAATGCAAAAGTAGCTCAAATAAACACTCATTAAAACCAAGTGTACTGAAAGCAATCTCTGAATTATTACATGTGAAATCTAAAAAAAAAAAAAGGTACAGAACTAGAAGAGCAAACCAGGTACCTTTGTCGCCAGTATGAAACCTTGGCAACAGGTCAAACAATGCAAGATAAAAAAAGAAATAAAGATGATGACTACATTGTAAAAACGCGGCCTGGTTAATTAAGTCAGAATTTCTGCTTCAATATTAATGTAATTAACATTTGATGTAAACATCATGAATGTTTGGCCATGTGTGGATCTAGACAGAGGCTAGTGTCCCTGTAGTATTAGTCCAGACCTGGCCCCTTTTGTGGCATCTGTGCCAAAGCAAAATGCAAGATAAATGTATGATACATAAATAATGATATGTGCTGATTCATTTCATTTTTTATATTTAGAATTTATTTTTGTTGATTTAAAGCTGAATTTATTGTAGTTTTAGCATCAATCATTGAGATGGGATCAACGTTTTCTTTTAGTTTTCCAGGTTAGAAAATGGCTCTTTGGTTTGCTTAATATATCAAACAATGAACTTTTGCCCAATTTTCTGTTTCATTATTTTTTTCTGTGCCCTCATGTAAAATTACTGGGCCCACCCTGGTCCCCTGGTGAATATGGTCAAGAACCACCATGGGGTTCAGGAGATTTTTGGATACCTACTAAAAACTACACCAGAATCTTTCAGAGTATTGTTACTGACCACGTCCATCTATTTATGACCACATATTATTGCTTTATATCAT